CTAATTATGTAAAAAATCATGGAAGTGCCTAATTAACTGCTACAGCAATCTGACGCAAAGTAGTTCACCCAAAGACATAAATAAAAGAAAAATACACTGAGACTAATCAGATATAACTCTAGTTTTTGTTGTACTGCAATCTGACAAAAATATGTTGTGCAGTCTAACCTGAACAAAGACCAGACTCCATATCTGCGGGATAGTTCGATGATTCAGGCTTATGCGTGTCCAAGGATCCCTGGCCTCATACGCAAGGTCACTACAATCGAAGTAAATCCCTAAACATGGCCCACAGGGCCCACTACCATCAACATTCCAGAAGCTACCCTGTTCAAAAATAACACAACAATGTAAGAGTCTAGTTGTTAGATGCACATAGACACTCATGAAGAAAACTTGATAACCTTGACAGTGGAGCTGGACACATTTTCTTTTGGTAGAAATTCCAACATAATATCCCTGCACTCAGTATCAGCATCGAAATTTTCATCACCAGCAAAGTAGGTAGCATAAATGCACTCCTTTCCTAACCCACACTCCTGTATACAACAAAACAAACAGTAAATAAGGCATTGTGGAACCCTTGATAATATATACAACGTCTCAATACAACAAGAAGCAACTTAACACCTCCTGTAGAAATTCCAGCAGATTTAAGATCACTTCCCTCCTGTGTTCCCCCGGGTGCCAAGTCCCAAGGAGTTCAGTAAGGGAATGGTACCGTGTGTCATTGAAGTCCTCTAGGGTATCACCTATGCGAAGACATTTGAAGGAGAATGTGCTGCCTTCGCCAGATGGCAGATCTGCCATAAACGACTGCTTGAATCGGTTCATTGCTGTTTGAAGTAATGGCGCTTTGAAGTCTTCCACCAAAATAAGTGGGCTAGAGTACCACCGCTCGAGTTCCCCAAAGTGTTTGAAGAACTCCCGCCGAATCACGGCGCCCGACCACCGCTTCGTGGGGTTTCCCATGGTCAATGCTGGGGGTGGCGACTGAGGGGGGACAGGCGGGTGGAGGAGGACGTAGAACTAAGAGCCGGCGGGAGGACGAGTAGCTCTAGGAAGGATCCGGAGGCGTGCCATAGAGCTCGGGGGGTGATCAAGCTGTGGAGAGAAAATTGCGAGCGTGAGGGTGGCCGCAGAAACGCAGGTGGCGGCGGGACCGCGGGAGGCAGTAAAAGCGAGGCACCGTGCTCTAGGGCTTTAGGCGGACAAGGGTGGGGAAGGACGAGGCGGAACTAGGAGCCGGCGGCAAGGCGGCTAGCTCGAGGAAGGAGCCGGAGGCGCGCCATGGAGGATGGAGCTCGAGGGTTGAGGGGCTGACCAGGCGATGGTGGAGCGAATCGAAAATTGCGAGCGGGAGGGTGGCGATCGAGCGGGAGGACGAAGCCGAACTAGGAGCCGGCGGCAAGGCGGCAAGGCGGCTAGCTCGAGGAAGGAGCCGCAGGCGCGCCATGGAGCTAGAGGTTGAGGGGCTGACCAGGCGGTGGAGCGAAAATTGCGAGCGGGAGGGTGGCGATCGAGCGGGAGGAACGGCGCACAGGAGCGCTGATGGCGGCGGGAGGAGGCAAAAGAGAGACACGGGATTCTAGGGTTCTAGAATGTGTTTCGTTCAAGAACCAAGTGGAATTCCCGCACGCTCCACCGTTCCGCTTCCAACAACACCAACCCAACTGTGTGTAGACACAGACGCTGCAGAGCGGACCCCTGGAATGCCTGGGCCATGTACAGCGACTGGAGGGAGGATCGGTACGCGTAACAGCCACCAAAATAACCACACCTAGAGGGGAAAGGCCCACCCGGAAAGAACTGTCCAGAGCCTTGGGGAGGGGGTAGATCGGCGGCCCAAAGGCCCAAATCGCTGAGAGTAGGCATTTTAGCAACTAATTCTTCGCAGTTTCATACAAATACAAAATGATGATAGATACGAAAATGAGAAGAGAAGCTTGCTTGAGTCAAAGCACAAACCTATTCAGCCAAAGCTAGAGGACTGCATAGTTACCACGGATTCAAATGATCCTAAGACGGTTTGTAGTGAGAGTAACTTCAATGGTAACATACGGTTCAACTCAGCAAATTTGCTCATATGACAATGATTTAACAGAAGAGAGGTGATTTGAGTAACACAGCTCATACTATAAGTAACATCGTATATATCAAGACAAGATGACTTTACAACCTAATAAATGAAGTGTTGCATGACACCACACATATGTTACTCCCCGCTATGAAGGTGGTAATATAGACTAGTAACATATGCTTATTAGTTTAAGTTACTCCCCACTATGAATAGTCTAATTCCACTGCCTCTCACGCATGAGCTGAATCCTCGGGCTAACATCCCAGGTTCATCTTCAAGTCACGCTACTGTAGAGTAAGTCTAAATCAGACCAGATGGCATTACATATTCAAGTCACTTTGAGGATCAAGACAGGCCTATCTAAGCTTGTAAGGACCAAGAGTGTCACATCTCAGATTTTTTTTTTCAAATTTGGAATGTTTTATAATTCAAAGGGAATTAAAAAATCTACGAAAAACCTATATTTTATTGCTAATTAGCTAAACTTGCTTAGGATTTGCTTGATTTGAATTTGCATGAATTACTTAGGATAGTTAAAGGCCCTACATATAGTTGAAACATGTAGCCTTTTAAAAGTAGGAGAACCCTAGAGGGGGCAACTTGAAAGATAAATTAGAAACCACCCAAAAGATGATTGGCAAAAAAGATTCAAAGTAAAGATTTCAAAATGGGTAGGAGACAAAGCGAGTGAATTCAAAAAGTAAAATAAATCCAATTGAAAAATTGAAAGATAACTTAATAGGAAACAGAAAATATATTCAAAGGAATAATAAACAAGGCTTAGAATAAAGGGCAGAAAATAGTTGACCAAAAGGTTCAAATAAAATGTTCACCAGTATATAAATATTCAAAAATGAATTTAGAGCTATAAATTGGAGAAAAATAAAATTCAAAATAGAATGTATTTTATAAAAAAGAAAAAAAGCCTAAACTAACCTAGACTAAGGCCAAGCCAATTAGCCAGGCCCGACATGCACGCACCCGCAGCCCAGCTCACCTGCACTCCCTCTCTCTTATCTCTCTCTTACGGATAGACCCACTTGTCAGCTCCATCCCCAACCTCCACACATTGCATGTGCCCATGTTCTCGCCCATGATCGACCTCCACGTCCACATGCCCTCGTGCACGCCCAAGCCCTGCCAACCTGCCCTATAAATATCCCTCGACCCCCTCATCGTTTTGTCCCAACTCGCAATATCCATTGTCGCCAGTCTGCCCAACAACGAACCCCACATCGCCGCCTCTGCCCTAGCTCTCGCCAGCCAATTTTTTTGTGAGGCAACCCACCTACCGATGTGCCACTACATCACCAGGCAACCCCTGGACATCTTCTCCTCACCCAAAGCCTTCCGGAACCCTAGGGTCGACGACGCTAGAGTTGTTCCGCCACCGCAAGCTCAACTCTAGTGAGTCCCATAAGTTTTCGACTGTCGCACCTTGTTTGTTGTCTTTGCCATTGTAACGACCCGAACCTGATAAGATTCGATGTCTTTGTGCTTACTATGCTAGTCCCTGGATCAATTCGCTAGCACACACAATACATAGGAATCTCAAAGTAACAAGTGCATTAATTTACTACAATGTGTGATCCATAATTTATAAAGTATTAAAAACAGAGTAGCACGTAGCTAGCTTTATTCAATAATAACAGCGGAAATATAGCATAATAAACGACAAGTCCCATCAATGCCCACAGGCGAAAATGCTGAGTGAAGACTCGCGACCCTACTATATCTCACTAATCATTTGAAAATCCTGCAACATGATAAGTTGCAGCCACAAGGGTCAATACATTGAATGTATTGGCAAATCACACATAATGATATAGCAAAACCTACATCTACATGCAAGGTATGACAAACAGAACACTCAAGTTTGTTTGGCATAAAGCTAACTTCACCTACCTCCACTAACAAGTCAAGGTTTTACATATCTACAGTTGACACACAACAAACCTATCGCGTCCAGTTAACCGCACATGGGAAACCCTTGGAAACATAAGATGAGATGAATAAAGATCTTCAAGAAGTCTCGAGTGCGTTCAGTCGTGGCGCATTCTCTAGGGCAATAGAGCGCTCAACCAACAACACATTCACCTGATTTAAACCCCGAAACCTCAAGTGCGCTCAGCCATGACGCATTCTCTAAGGACAATAGAGCGCTCAGCCATTGACGCATTCACTTGAGAAAAAGTCCCGAGCCTACAACTATAAACACTCACCATTGTCATGCATCACTCGACAGTCGACACATACACATGTCTAGCATCGCAAGCTACTCACACCATCACATAACACAGTCAATACCAAAACATGACAACACGGAACATAATGATCAACCAAACATATAATGTATCACAACAAGTACACCTGCATAGCAGAAATATAGGATGAGCATAACCAAAAGTGCAACTTGCCTTGAACGGTGTTGAAGCACTCTAACGCTTAATTCTGATCCGCTTCGCACTCCAGACAATCTATACGATTAACGAATGCACCGATAAATAAACCGTACTCACATAACACCGCACTAAAGCCAACAACAAATAATTTAAATAAAACTTAAATAACAGAACATACCAGTAGGTATATATTATCTACATGCTAGTAGGATCATAATGCAAAAAGAATCAACTAATTTGGATCAACGGTTTGAAAGATATGGCCTCCGGAAACTAAATTTTAAATTTGAGCAAATTCAAATTTAAACAATTAAAAAATGTGCAATTTGGGTCCTACCAGAATCTCCTGATCAATATGAGTTCATAGGAAAAAGAATCGATGAATTTCGATATACGAATCTCAAGTTATACCTAAACGAACTAATGATATGAAATATGCCCAAAAAAATTGTGCCATAGCAGCGTTCCTGGAAACACTGCCGCCCATGCTATGGATGTGCCACGTGGCACACAGTGATTGGTGGGAAGCTGTTCGTTGCAAGGTCTAAACAGAAAACGGTCGCAACTTAAAGGAAAAGATTTCGGAAATAAGAAACAAATATGGGAAATCTAATCTTGGCCATCGGGGAGAGATCGAACGGGTGGGGATGCTCACCGGAACAACAGAGGCTCGGTGGTTGCCGGACTTGGAGCAGAAAACACACGACAGCTCGGATGTCAACGATGAAGACGTATGTGGTGGTTCCTCGAGCTCGGGAACGACGGAACAAGATGGGGAGGGACACGACGAACTCCAAAACGTCCTCCAGGATGACCGGGCCTTCTGCTAGCGTCGGTGAGGTCCGGTTGGAGTTGTGGCTTTGGACTTGAGCTTCAGGTCGAGGTCCTAGGGCTCGATTGGACGCTTCCCTGTGCGAGATAGTTGGTTAGGGGGATAACGAAGGTCAAGGCGAAGACACTAGAGGGTAAGGGAAGCGCTGAGGACCCTCGGCAGTGAAGAAATCAGCGACGGTAGAAGCTTCGGGCGGCGGCGGACTCCAGCAAGATCTGGGCGCCGTTCAATGGCATGGGAGGCAGAGATTTTGGCGAAAATTGAATGAGAAGAGCGAGGGGATTATTTATACGGAGGTGGGAGCGAGAAAGGTGCAAGATCTGAGCCGAATCGGCCGAGGATTTGGATCGGGATGGGTCTCCAGGAAGAACACGGGAACGAGAGAGATGACATGCAGGCCAGCCTCGTCAGCAAGACAAAGAAAGGAAGAAAACATAAAAAACAAAACAGAAAAGGGAGAGAGCTGCGGGGTGGGCTGGGGTTGAGCGGGGAAATGGGCTGGCCTGCTAGCGGGCTGCTGCTTAGCGCGCGCGGGCGAGGGAAAAAGGAGTTGGGCTCCATAGTGCCCAATGATTGTTTTTAAACAACTTTTGCTATAGGAAGTAAAATGGCTAAATAAAATACAAAAATGAACTGATAAAATTACCAAAGCACACAG